AAAATAACAGAAAAATTTAAAAAAGAAAAAATTAAGACCATAAGTATATTAATCAGTTACTTTACATTGCTGGTCTAATCACTCTAATACTCCTGCCACATCAGACTACCGTTCTGATGTTTGCTCTCCCCTTAACTGAAATTGCTTTGGTTTGGTTGGTTTGGTTTCACTTGGTTTTGGGATTTTCGATTGGTTTTGGTATGCTTTCAGTAAAACCCAGAATGTACATGCCGCACTGGATGAAGCAACTGGACCTTAGCCACCTGGTGGCAGTAAAGTGAGGCATTTTGTAAACTAATGATTAGATCTCAGCTTTTTAGTGACCCTGTGCTCCTGGACTGAAACTTCATCAAAAATGCCTCTGTCCTGCCCCATCCCCTTAGCTGAGGCAAAATGGCTAATGGGAGTTTAGAGTTGGTATTTCCATTCCCTCAGGTCTGTCAGACTATGATAAGACCTCAGCAGGTCAATTTCCCGTAAAACTGATTTTCTTGTTAGCCGGCCTAGTGAAGAACAATACTTTTTTTACTATTTCAAAATGCTGCTCTTCTCCTCCCCCTGCTGGAAGCAAGAGGGAATTTTTTTTTAATGTTTATTGTAAGAGCCTGGCAGAGCTAGAGGTACAACAGTTGTCTGGGAGCTCCCCTAAGAGTGGCCTTCCCTGTTGTTTTTAAACTCTGGAGTTTGTCCACAGTGAGCCTCCAGCAGCTCATCAATTACATTTTTCACTGACTCCCATCAAAGATTTTGGTTAGGCACCTTCATTTCCTTGTGACCGCGTACTACTTGCTGGTCTGTCCCCAGATTGGGGGTAGTGGTTTGCTGTCTGACTGCAATTCTCATATGGATCCAGGAAGAGTTATGTCTGTGCAGTTTTGAATTTGTTAAGGTGAAGTCTTGGTTTTTCAACCTCTTTACTTGCTGAGTCAGAAATAGAAAGCAATTTTAAAAAGAAGAGAGGGGAGGGAAGGTAATGAGATTTTTAAAAGGATAAATACTTTGGAGTCTATTGCATGAACTTGGACAACCAATTTCAAAAATGGCTACTGGGGAATTCTAGAAAGTCATGGTCATAAATGAAATGATAACAACAGTTTCCTGTGATTTAGACACTTTGCAAAGAGGGGATTTCCCACATCTGTGATTTTCCTAATCACTCTAGGAAAACAGAAGGCAACTACATTTGGAATCATTTGAGCTCAAAATGGCTAACAAACAAATAATCTTTTTAAATAAATAAAAATTACAACAGTTGATAGTACATTATATCTGGATAAATGTCCATATGACAGGCTTTGATGAAGTGATTTTTTAAACTCATAGTTTAAATTCCTTCACTTATGCATTCAACAGACAGCCCTCAGGACATGCCAGGTGCAATGCTAGAACTCAATATAATTAAGAACACAGACCCTGCCAGTAATTCATTTAAGCTAGTCAGAAAGACAGTCACATGAACACAGACTTTGAAAATAGTGTGCCATCTAAAATGATAGCGAGGTATACAGGTTTATGGAACTGTGAGGGAAACCCAATTCAGCCCAGAGCGAGAACAGAGAGAAAAGACAAGGGTCAGAAAAGATGTCCAGAAGCCAGGCGTGGTGGGGCACGCCTGTAATCCCAGAATTCGGGAGGCTGAGGCAGGAGGATCGCCATGAGTTCAAGACCAGCCTGGGCCTACCTACTGAGCTCAGGTCCAGCCTGAACTACAAAGGGACATACTGCCTCACACACACAAAAAAATAATAATAATAATAAATAAAATTAAAAAATAAAAAGACATCCAGAATATAGCAGTACCCGAACAGAATATTAATAAGCCTGGCCTCTTTTCCTTAGAAGTCCCATAGACAATAAATAAGGTATTTTTTAAAATCTTTCTTTTAGTCACATTCTAACAGCTCTGAATCTAGGGATAAATACTACAAATAACTGGATAATCGAGCAGGGTTTGCATGTTGCTGCAAACAATGACGAAGCCTCCCAAACCAGCCAGAGGGCAGACGCGGAGGATCCTCACAGTGGGGTCGGAATGTTGACATCTCTGCAACGTTGCAGATTACGGCTGCAATGGGGATGTGTAGGTGTCTAACCAAAAGCACTAAGGCAGTGATGAACCTTGTAGAGACCAAGTGCCCAAACTGCAAGCCAAAACCCACTTATTTATCACAAAGTGCCAAGACTACAGTTAAACCTGAATATTTGACCAGCCAAGTGAAAGCTCAGTCATGGCTAATGAGTCACAGATGGTGACATCACCGTGGGGCGCCACTCCTTTCTGAGCACGCGCATGGCCTCTGTGCGCGCTGTTCTGGCTGCTGGGGTGACGTTGGGACGATGCTGGGGCCACTTGGCTCGGTTTGCCACCACTGCACTAGGGCATCCATCAACAGGTATCACGGTCACCTAGTGTGGTGACATTTAGGTCAATTTTTGTTCTTCAAGCTCTGCCAAACTAAAGAGTGTATGAATCACTCCTCCTCCCATAGTAGTCGTCACAAAGATACAATCGCAAAGTGTGCACAAGAAAAAGTTCTTAAACTCATAGCTTTGAAACTTTATTTCAGAGGTGGGACCTGACAGAAAACTTGCTCGCATGAGATCATGAAGCTATTTTACTAAGAGATAAAACCAGGACTGGGTCATTTATTTTTTAAAAATTGGGGCTGGGGGTAAAGCTCAGTGGTAGAATGCTTGCTTAGTAAGCAGGAGACCTTGGGTTTGTTCTCCAGGATCACACACACAAAACGGTATATTCATTTAAAAGTGGAATGATATCTAAGTCCAGGCTCTGTGCTAGATACGAATACAAAATTTAGACACATTATTTCTCATTCTTGTTCCACTCACCCCCATGCCACAAATACCATGCAGTTTCAACCACAAATACTGTGGATGTCTTCAAAATGTAGACTTTTTATGAAACATAACCACCATTATCACTGTCCTCAAAATAATTCACTACCATCAAATATCCAGTCAATACTGAAACTACCTAATTCAGTTTAAATGAGTTTTTAGATTTTTTTGTATTAGTAGGGCCCCACTAAGGTCCACACATGGCACATTTGTTGAGGAAACAATATTATCAAGTAGTAGTTCTCAGTTTGGAAGCAGTCGATTCCAACATTAGTTTTCACTTAATATATTCCTCTATCTTGATTTTCTAAAGACTCCCATGAACTAGTACTTACATCTAGGGGCTTGATTAGATTGTTTCAGTTTTCTGACAAAAACATTTCATGAATGGCTCCGTATACTTCCTATTGTACCATTTCAGGAGGTGCAGGATACCAAGTTTTCATTCCACAGTTTCTCTCAAGACCCGGCTACTTTCCTGGGCACGACAGCACGGCAGACAGTGCTTCTGAGGGTACAGATTATTTGCTCACATGCTTTACCAGTCTTCTTCCCTGGAAAGCTCTCCATCAGACTTAAAATAGCTCCACTTTAACTTCCTCATCCCTATAGCAGAAAATGTGCCAAAACTTGCATCACAGGATATTATGAGTATTAAATGAAACAGATTGTGAAAGTGCTTGGAGAAACGTGAGATATTTATTGATACAGTATTCATGCAATACATAGATACTGGTACACACAATCGTATAACTAATCATCCTCCTAAAAAATGTTTATTAAAATTCATCCTTCCTGAGTTCCAACTACTGTAAACCCCAGAACTCAATGACAACATCTATTATACTACATACCACATCTTAACATTTCCTTCAAACCCCATGAGGAAATATCTTAATAGAAAACAGGCTCAGAAAGGTTAGGTTAACCGAGGCTGCACAGATGGTGAGTGGCAGAGGCCAGACTCATGTAACTATCACTATTAAACTGTAAATAACAAGCTACAGAAAATTCTCATTTTAAAAATGGTTCCATTAGCTGGGTGTGGTGGCACACGTCTATAATCACAGTACTCGGAAGGCTGAGGCAGGAGAATAACTGCGAGTTTGAGACCAGCTTACGCTACACGGTGAGTTCAGAGCCAGCTTGAACTACAAAGCAAGACCCTGTCTCAAGAAAAAAAAAAGTTTCTATTAAAAAGAAAACTGATTGTATAGCTCGATGGTAGACTTACTTAGTGTGGGCAACCCTAGGCTTGACCTCCAGCACTGGAAAAAGAACATTTCTCATCAACATCAACACTGAACAGATTAATTGCTCCTGAGATTCTTTGGGAGAATCTTATTCTACATTCCATCTCTCATTCTAACAAGATTATAAGAATTGAAAAAAAAATAATTGAGAGGCAAAATTTAAGTTTACATCTTGCTGCTCAGAGATTTCTTCAGCACCACTATCAAAGTTAAAATATTTGAGTCGCTGTCCTCAGACAACTAGGGAAGGAAAGGGAGGCAGGATACAAATGCTCAACTGTACAGTCCAGGAAAGAGGTAACAATGAATCGGAACAGTCGAACAGTTTCAGGAAAGAGGTAGAACTGTAGATCAGCAGGAGATGGGTATTCAGAAGAAAAGACAGAAGGCTCCTCCAGAGAAGAAATCGGGAACAAGAGCAGTCTCTAAAAACACGAATGTGCATTGTCGCGGAGCTTCGGCGACTGGTAGCTCTGTTTTTCTGCTGACATCATGAAAACATGCGATCTTGGAAGTTAACGGGCTTTATAATGTAAGAACGGCTGGAATAGGAGAGGTAAACCTTGATCCAAGACTTGAAAATCCACGTCCCGCGGCTTCAGATGAAGGGGGCATGGCCTCCTCAATAGGGCTATCTGAGATACTTTTGGAGGCGCAATCTTTTGGCTTGCTGTAGCATAGAGTCTACACTAGGTCATTACACGCTATGGTTGGTCCGCACGCGCGAAGCCCTTCTTTCCTCACAAAGACCATAGAAGGAGGGCTATGCGCAAGCGCTCTGAGGCTCTCTGAAGATAACGACATCGTCCCGCCTCCTGGCAAAGGGAAGCAGCGTAACGCCTGCGCTCTGAGGGCTTTCAAGACTTATTTCACGCTGCGAAAGGCGGTGACGTGATGAGTAGTCAAGCAACGGAAGCCGGGAGGGAACTAGGGCGGAAGGGGATCAGGGGCCAGGATTGTGTTCGGATCCTTTGGGGTTCCGATGTGGTCCCCGGAACGGGAGGCCGAGGCCCCGGCCGGGGGAGACCCGGCGGGCCTCCTGCCCCCTGAGTGGGAAGAAGATGAAGAGCGTATGTCCTTTCTGTTCTCCGCTTTCAAGAGGAGTCGCGAGGTGAACAGCACCGACTGGGACAGCAAGATGGGCTTCTGGGCGCCGTTGGTGCTGAGCTACAGCCGCCGCCAGGGGGTGGTGCGCCTGCGTCTGCGGGACTTGCAGGAGGCCTTTCAGCGCAAGGGCAGCGTCCCGCTGGGGCTGGCCACGGTGCTGCAGGACCTGCTGCGGTGATTTTTCCTCCCCTCGGGTCTGTGACAGCGCACCGCGCCCAGCCCAGGGTCTGGCCCAGAGTGTGCAAAGGAGGAGGCACGCAAGGAGGTCTGTCTACGGGTCTGTGGAGGGAAGCGCCCGAGGGGCTGGGACAGTCCAATTTAGACGCGTTCCACATGTCACCAGCCCGGGGGAGGTGACAATGACTTGTGTGAACTGAAATAGCGTTATGTAGTTCTTACCTAAGGGCTTCCAAATTTGAGTTGCCGGTGTAGCGCAAGGTCTAGGAGATAAGGCACGGAAGACTGGAGCAAAGAAGAGTGTTTGTGAGCAAGGAAGCTGCAGTAATCTTGCCAACGAGCCCTGTGCAGGCATGTGCCTGGCCTTTTCCGGCCTGTCTGTGGCACAGGCTGTTGGAGCAGAGAGGACATGAAGGAAGATGAGGGCTTACCTGAGTGCCCGGCATCCTGAAAAGGTCCATAGGTGACACAAGCGTGAGTATGTGCAGTATTTTGGAGGTGCCTGAGTAGGTAACATTAGTAGATGACAGCGCTTAACAGTATGCAGACATTTTTCATCTGAATCCTTCAGCGGTCTTAGAGAATAAAATTCACTGTGGGAACTGAGTCTCAGAGAACAAGTGACTTTAGAGGGTTACACAGCTAGTTAGAAGTTGCCTCGAGACTAGATTCCCACTCTCTGGATTCTAAATCATTTTCACTTCACACTGTATGCATCATACTAGGCCCAGTACCTAGCATGGTCCTTCCCTCAGTGAATGAAGGAGAAAATCAACTCTGATAGTTTTTAGCTTGCTGCTCTTTCTGATGGAAGGGTCCGGCTCCCCTACTTCTGTTCTTGGTAACTTTCCCTTGGCTAACCTTGCTGTATACAATACAGGCCTTTCTGAAATTTTCCTTTCTAAGAAAGTGTGCTGGGGAGAAAGTTATTTTGCTTCACGTCTACAGTGGAGACATTAGTCGGAGAAGCCAGTGGGGAACAAAAGTAGAGTGGGCCTTCTTACGGCAGGGCAGCCTTCTACCACTTCCGATCCAGAGACCTTTAGCACCTTGATCCCTTCTCTCCTGAGTGATGATTCTTCCCTGAAGCTGCCTCGTGCCTGTCTGAGTCTGACACCTGAAAAGTTTGTAAGGGAGAGATTTCTCCCACAGAGGCAACACAATGTAGCAAAGAACAGCTTTGCCTGAGGGCTCTGCCGTTTGTTAAATTACCTGGACAAATTACCTGCCATCATTTTTAAGCCCTGTCTTGACAAATTATAATGTGGTAGTGATAATTGTAACTACATCTATTGTGAGAATATGAAGGTCTTTATGTAGCTCTTAACATAGTAGCCTCAGTATATTTAGCTGTTGCTATGTTACAGAAACCAGGAAATACTTAATCTTATGTCCAGCAGGAAGCCTTGTCTCTGTACATCTTTGTGTTCTTCTCTATGCCTTATATTTGACAATGATCCATTATTGTTACTTTCATTTTATTGCTTCGAGCTCCATCTGTAAAAGAAAAACTCAATGCGGGTGCAGTGTCTCCTGTGTCTCTGGAGTCTTCATTGAGTGCTTGTGTTTGGAGCCAGACAGAACCAGACTTCTACCAGGCCTTCCTCTCTACCTTCTCGGGGCTTTGGTTTTCTCATTGGTTACCATGCTAGTGGCTCCATCTGTCTTGTAGAGGGTTTAGGAGGCTGGGTGCAGCGCAGCTCTGAGTAGCCGGTGCAGTGTAGATGCCCAGTAAATGGTTGCTGTGATGACGGAATTTCTTTTACCGGGAAAGGGTGCAGGTGGGGACTGGAGTGGGCCATTGCATTAAGCGCTTCTCTGTGCCTTTCTTTTTCTTTCCCTGTAGTCGAGGGGAGCTGCAGCGAGAGTCAGACTTCATGGCCAGTGTGGACAGCAGCTGGATCTCCTGGGGGGTTGGTGTCTTCCTTCTGAAGCCCCTCAAGTGGACTCTGTCTAACATGCTCGGAGACAGTAAGGTTCCTGTTGAGGAGGTGCTTGTGGCCGTGGAGCTGCTGAAGGTGAGTGGACAGAGGGAAGGGCCGGGCACCCTGGTGATGGCAAGAGTGCCTGCTGTGTGGTTCTTGGAGGAGACTCTTACGTGGTTCCAGAGTTGACATCTGAGTTTACCCAGCTTGCCTTGAGCCATCCTTTGTTGTTTTTTTTTTTTTTTTTTTTTTTTTTTTTTTTGTACCAGGAATTCAACTTGGGACCTTGTGCTTGCGAGGCAGGCTGCAGAAGCACTGAGCTAAATCCCCAGCCTAGGAATCATCTGGAACAAACAGTCGATTACTTCCTAGTGTTTGTAAGGACTGTTGATAAGTGGTAGTTTAGGAAATGCCTTGCCTTCTGTAGTTTATTGTAAGAAATCCCTAGGACTTCTGACGACCTTGTGGCCTTCAGCTTTTCCCACCACTGAATTAGCCAACAAGGTGCTAATTTCCTACTCTCAGTCTGCTTGCTTCCCCTTCCGGCTTGCTGAGGGCTGCCTCCCACCATCCCTGCTCTTCTGCCTGGAAGCAGCCCTCAGGGCTTTGTCCTGTCCTGCCCTCCTGTGCAGTCAGCCTCCTCCCAGGATGCCTTCTCTTCCCAGCCCACTGTACTCTGATGGCGTGATGGGGCCCTCAGTGTCCACAGCAGGTTGCCTCCATGTTCCACACAGAAGAGGCACAGCCAGTCCTGGCCTGTGTCGCCCGGATGGGGCCCTGCTCATGGTCCCCAGCTGGAGGAGGGCTCTCAGCCACTCTGCAGCCCACTCCCACCCCTCCCGCTGCTCTTCCGCTCCCACCCTCTTCACTCTGTAGACACCCTGGAGCAGGTAGCCTCCTAAGACTGACTTCCGCTTCCTGTCCTGCCACCATAGTTCTGCCTCCTCTGAGCTCCCTGCTTCCCTGAGCTCAGAGGGCAGAGTGGCCTTTTCCACATGTGCTCCTGAGTCTGCCCCACCCTTCCTGTTCCTGATTTCCATCAGCCGTTGCTCTCCATATTTTGTTTCTCTCCTGATGCTTTCTTCCTTGGCTTCAGCCCACCAAGGCTTTCCCATTACAAGTTGACTCCTTTATGTTCTCGGGCTCCTGCCAGCTACTGCTTACTCATGCATTCTCTCTCTCTCTCTCTCTCTCTCTCTCTCTCTCTCTCTCTCTCTGTCTCATTTTGAAATACAACAGACCTGCTACAGCCCCATTGCTCCACTGAAACTGCTGTGCACAGGCTTATGAACTTTAAGTGGTGGTATTTATGAAGTTCACTGAACACCAGGTAGCTAAAGTGGGCTACAGATGATGGTTAGTTTTGAAATACACAGAACCAAGCCCAACCTCAGGGCCTTTGCACATTCCTGGGGGTCTTTATACAGCAGGAGCCAGCTCGGACCCCCATGCCCAAGGGAAGTGCTAGCTTTTCCTCACCTTGACAGACACAGGGCTCTCTGCACAGCACTGAGGCTTCCCGCTCACCAGGACTTTCAACCAAGTGACCCACATTTTCTTTACCATTCCTTGTCTGCACGATGGCCTTGTTCTGCAGTCCCTAGTCATGGTCCGCACAGCAACAGCAGGGTGGGCTGGCTGGTTCTGGGCCAAGCTTGGGTCCTCTCTGCAGACTTTTACCTCGCATGTTCTCCAACCTGGAGTGAAGAGGTAGGTCCATTGGCCCCAGCGATGTGGGTTTGGACTCATATCTGTTTGCTATCAAAAGGTGGAGAATGGCAGTCAAGTGGAGTAGAATTACACGGCCCTGTGGAAATAAACAATAGTCTCTGAGAGCACTGTTGTCTACTCCTATTTAGGTATATACTAAATAGGAATACTCCTGTGATCCCGGCATTCTAGAAGGCTGCAGCAGAAGGATCACAGGTTTGAGCCCAACCTGGGCAATTTAGCAAGAGCCAGACTCAAAATAAAAAGTAAAAAAAAGCCTGGAGATGTAGCTCCTGGCGAAGGCCCTGGGTTCAGTCTTCAGTACCACGAAAACAAGAACAGGAAGTCTTCATGCCTTCAAGGCACAGTGCTGCTGAATCAGTGCTCACTGCACTTTCTGGACACCTCACAATTTTCTCAACTAGTTGGCGGCTCCATTGTTTTCTTGGGCAGAGGCAGGGGTGGGCATGTGTGGGCTTCCTCACATTTGTAACACTAAAGGGTCTTACCTGGGTATAGAAGAGGAAGATGTAGAGGAACCTGCAGTGGAGGGAGATTGTTTTTCCTAAGCCCAGACACACAGATAATACCCAATAACTTTTTACTTTCTTTTAAATCGTCCTGAAAATATACAAAAAAGCAAAAATTGCCAGTGATTTTCCTTTGGAAAAAAGTATACAGAGAATTGAAGTTGCCTTTCTGTTTGTCCCATTCTGTTTCTTTGAGTATGTTCCTTTCCCACTGGTTGTGTGTCGGCAGTCTTTTCTCATCGACCCCGTCACACTCCGTGCCGAATTACTTTCCATTCTGTTTTGTTAATTAGCATTCAGTACTAGCTGAAACATCTTACTCATTTATTCTTTGAGTACCTTTTTTCTTATTTTAATTTTTTATTTTATTTTTTGGTGCCTGGATTGAACTCAGTACCTTGGGCTTGCAGGGCAGGCGTGGTACCACTGAGCTAAATCCCAGCCCCTGAGTGCCTTTTAATAATGCCACATACCGTTAATCCGTTTATGTGTGGACGCCATATAGTTCCAACCACAGCAGCTTGATAGTGACCAAGTCTAATGGAAACGTAAGACACTGTCTTACTGGCCTCTCTGCCACCTTTGAGACTTCTGCCCACTCACTTCTCAGAACTTCTCCTTTCCCTGAATTTGTTCCCTTGGGCAGCAGGTTCCCTCTGTTCCCCCGAGCTGTCCTTCACCGCTTAGATATTGGTCTTCCTCCACTTGGCACTTTCCTCCCTGGTTTCCTTGGCCACCTCATCTGTGATCATAATCACCAGCCGTGTGCTGAGGGCTTTCTCCGTCTGGGTGTCTCCTTGGGGCATCAGTTGTCTGCTGTACCTGCCTTCTTAGGTGTCCTCAGGTATCCAACCCGCATGTCCCAAGTGGACTGTTTTGTCTTTCCTTTAAATGGGCTTCTCTCCATCTAGGTTTTTGCTGTTAACAGCATCACATCTACCAGCCACTCACATGGAGTCTAGACCTTCCTCTTTCTCCTTCTACCCTGTACTCAGTCACACAGACTGCACTTTTATCTTCTGCATTTTGCCTGAATCCACCCTTCTCTCTCTGTTCAGCCCCATATCTCCTCTTGCATAATGGTGCCCCCTCCACAGTCCGTCTTTGCAGTTGTCACCCAGCTCTCAGTTTAGCCATGGCGGACCCTCCGGTGACTGCCCACTCTCGGCAGAGAGAGCGACAGCAAGTACGATGCTACTCTTCACATCTCGTAGAAGCGCTACCTCTCCCCTTGCCTTCCTTGTGACGGATCTGCCACATTGGTCCTCTCTTCCCTGCTCACAGCTTCCCTTCTGCCCAGGACTCCCCTCCACCTCCTTCACCACGTAACCGTAGTACGCCTCAGGTTTCCACTCAACAGGGCTTTGGTTTGGTTCGGTTTGGTTTGGTGCTGGGATTGAACCCAGGCTTTGCACCTGCTGCTCCTGCTTAACACTGAGTTGCACACTCCAGTCCAGCCTTTTCTGAGAAACCTCGGAATCCTCAGGTTTCCTTCTGTGTTTTCTCATGGCCTTCTCTGCCTGCCTCAGATATTTGACTGCAGAAGTGATTTGCACGTCTGGGGGAAACTGGCGTCATGTCTTAGAGCTTCTGTTTCCTAGCTTCCCACTCATCCTGCCCTCCTGCTCATCACATACTTAGCTCTTTAGACTCTTTATGAACTCGGTAGCATCCATGTCTGTAGTCTTGCCAGTTGTCTTAAAAATGAAGAGGCCGGACTGAAAAGGAAATGTGTCATCTCTTCTGCGTGGCTCCCCTCTTCTTATGAGAGGGGTGCCGAGGACCTGTGAGCCTGATGGGTACAGGGTCATGGGGCCCGCAGAAGTCAGGCTCCGCTTGGTTCGTGGCCAATTCCACCACTCCCCTCGCTCCTTCCTCCCACCAGTGCACAGCCGGGGAGAGGCAGACACAGAAAGTCCCAGGTGGACCTGTGAGCGTGGAGCTGGCATTTCATGCACCCCATTTCATACAGTCCCAGCTTACCTCCCAAGTTCGAAGGAAAAACAAGATCCTTTTCCTTTGTTAGAAGCCACAGCTTTAGGGAGGATGGGGGTGCTGCTCCCCGGCTCTTGCCTTGTCATGGTTCTGAAGCTCAGGGCCAGGTTGCACCCCATCCTGTGGTGCTGACCAGGCCGGTGCGCCCCTTTGCCCACCCTGCAGGAAAAGGCCGAGGAGGTGTATCGCCTGTACCAGCACTCGCCACTGTCCTCCCACCCCGTGGTGGCCCTGTCGGAGCTCAGCACTCTGTGCGCCAACTCCTGCCCGGACGAGAGGACCTTCTACCTGGTGTTGCTACAGCTGCAGAAGGAGAAGCGGGTCACGGTCCTGGAGCAGAACGGGGAGAAGGTAGGAGCCCTGTTCATTCGCTCCTTTCATACAGTGGTTTGCTTGGACCTGAGGGAGGGGCGGCAGTGACGCATCCCTGTCCCACAGATTGTGAAGTTTGCCAGAGGGCCACATGCCAAGGTGTCCCCTGTCAATGACGTGGATGTCGGGGTGTACCAGCTGATGCAGAGTGAGCAGCTCCTGTCGCGCAAAGTGGAGTCCTTATCCCAGGAGGCCGAGAGGTAGGTCACTCCTCTCAGCAGGCCGTCTGCAGAGCCCTCAGTATGAACTGCATTAACTGTTTACAGAAGTACTAACTGCTCCGTACAGAGACCTGAAAGCACAAGGTATCACAGAGGCATGAAATATGCCTGGACTCTGCCCACAGAGATGACAGTTGCTGCCATATTATTTCTGTTCTTCCTTGGTGGTATCTGTGTAGACAGACTGTGTTGAGCGGAGTGTCATCTAAGGGGCAGGGGATACAGCAGTGAGCAGGGCCCTCAGTGCCTCACAGCAGTCTTTCTAAGGGACCCCTGCTCTTCCCTGGGTCCATGGTAATAGTCACAGATATGTCTCTGAAAGGAGGACAGAGATAGTAAATTGGAACTTGTTCATTCTCTCAGTGAGAAGAGTGCACGCCTGTCACAAGGTGACAAGACATGGTCAGGGTCACGGTGGATGTTAGGAATCGATCCTGTTGGTCCCAGGCAGAGATGTGTTTGCATTTCCTGTGCACTGGCCTCTGCCTGGCCACCCTGCTTCCCACATGCACCTGTGCAGGCCTGAATCTCACTTGCTGCCTGGCCAGAGTGTGTTGTTGGCACCCTTGCCTTGACCCAGGGAGGGTTGGGTTTGATCTTCAGATCCGGAACCACTTTCACTCAGTGTAGTTTTCAGGGGTTCTTTGGGACCCTGCCACCCATCCCATGGCACAGTCCTCTGCATCTCTCTGTTTTTTCACAGGTGTAAAGAGGAAGCCCGGCGGGCCTGCCGAGCAGGAAAGAAGCAACTGGTGAGCTCGCCTGCCCCACAGCCATGTAGCAGTGTCCTGGGCTGGCTGGGAGGGGTGCCCAGCAGTTCCCAGAGTGGCTGCTTGGGGATCAGGGAATTGGAGCAGAGGCTGAGGGTGGCCCAGAATCCATAGTTTGTTTTGTGTTTTGAGACAAGTGTCTCACTATGTAGTTCAGGCTCTTCTTGAACTCACTCTGTAGTCCAGGCCGGTCTTGAACTTGCAGTGATCCTCCTGCCTGACCTCCCAAGCACTGGGATTACAGGTCTGTACCACCATGCCTAGCAGCAGATTATTTTATTTGAGAGAGAAGGCCTTTCGGTAGTCTTCCCACCTGAAAGGGGCTGTCTTCCTCTTGCTTTCTGGCCAGCTTTGTCTTGCCCTAACCTCAGTCTCCACACCCCCAGGCACTAAGGTCCCTCAAGGCCAAGCAGCGGACAGAGAAGCGCATCGAGGCCCTGCACGCCAAGCTGGACACTGTTCAGGGCATCCTGGACCGCATCTATGCCTCCCAGACAGACCAGATGGTAACCGCATCCCTGTCCTCTGCTCATGGCTCACCTCAACCTTGGGGCTGAGCTATTGCAAAGGAACCTGGGTTCTTTCAGGGCATGGCTGGGCTGCCTTTGTATTTCCTGTGGGAAGATTGGCCCCTGTGAGTGTGACTTGGGTAGCCAAAACCTCCCAAAGCTGCGAGTTAAGCACCATTGTCTAGATTTTGCTGGAAATGTCCTTTGCACTGAGAACTGGGCTTTCTCTTTAGGTTTTCAATGCCTACCAAGCTGGGGTAGGAGCACTGAAGCTGTCCATGAAGGACGTCACGGTAGAGAAGGCAGAGAGCCTTGTGGATCAGATCCAGGAGGTACAGGAAAGGGCTGGGGAGGGACACACACAAAAATAAGTCACAGAGGACAGACATGACGTTGTTGCAGCCCCCTTTCCCAGATTGACCATGTGACTTCGAAGAGCTTTTCCCTGACTCTCATATGCTTTGTAACACTGTGTTCCTCTAAAGACCTTAAGATGCTCAGCCACCATTCCTAGTTCAGGGCTTTGCATTTGTCTCTTACAGCTGTGTGACACCCAGGACGAAGTTTCCCAGACTCTGGCTGGTGGGGTAACCAATGGTTTAGGTGAGTAGTCGGGGTGACACTTTCTCCTTCCCCTTCTTCCTTTCTGAGAGGTTTTGCTTCCTTGTTCCATGACAGGTTTGATCATGGACTTCTGTGGTGCAGGAAACCCCTTCCTGGGACTCACCCACAGAAGTAGTTGGAGTGAATTGCCATTCTTGCCTCAGTCTACTATACTGAAGGCCCACTGTGCTCCAGTGACCCTTACAAGGCTCAGCTGGCAGGTCCTTCACCTAGGGCAATGATGGCAAAACTTTTAGAGACCAAACTACAACCCAAAACCAAAATTTATCACAAAGTGCAACAGTACAATTAAACCTGAATGCTGAGGTTTGAGTATAGAAAAGACAGCTCATAAAATTTGTGATGTCGTCATAGAGAGGGCTCTGCATGCTCACTGTGGTGTGTGCGGGATCGGTTTGCCATCATGGCCCTAGGGCAAAGGGAATCAGGGCCAGTTCAGCGGTAAGCTGCATATACCTCCTTGACGACCTAGCTCTGTGTTTGGAAAAAGATTCACTTTACGGTACCCTTTGCTTCCTAGCTTGTGACTCTTTACCTGCATGGAGGCCCAGGCATCTTTTATAAAGCTGAGCTGGGTTTCAGAGAATCGTAGAACTGGAACCCTGGTTCTGGACTCAGTACATTTCCTCCTTGAAGCTAATATGTTCCTACGTTGCTTCTTCTCCCCAGACTTTGACAGTGAGGAACTGGAGAAGGAGTTGGACATCCTCCTTCAGGACACCACCAAAGAACCTTTGGACCTGCCTGACAGACCCAAATGTTATACCAACAGTGTGCCTAACCCTAGGATCTCCGATGCTGAACTTGAAGCTGAACTTGAGAAGCTGTCCTTATCAGAGCCAGGTATGGGCTGTTTTCTAAGGTTGCCTGGGACCCTCTGGCTGACTGAGGAGCCAGGCACAGAATGGATGGGTTCCAGCCCAACTGCTCAATCTGCCTGGGAACCAAAGCCCTGTAAAGAGTAAATGGTGGTGTTATCTGTATTAAGACTCAGTCCCTTACACAGTCGGATGCTTCCATCATAAAGACCTTTCTGCTACAGTGCTGTCATTTCTTCTCCTTGCAGATTTGGTCCCAAGCAGTAAATCTCCAAAAAGGCTATTGGAACCAACTCTCTAAAGCCATGGAAGGACCCTCAAGTGAAGGACCCTCACGTAAAAAAGAGATCGGCCTCATATGTGTACATAGTTATTTAAATGAGAAATGCTCAGAATTGGTTGGAAGAGGAGGAAAGAGAAGCACTCTGGTGTATCTGGATGCTGCCGCTCAAAACAGGACAGGTAGAGTCTCTGGAAGCAGTGCTCCAAAAGCTTGCTCCCAGCTGGTGTCAGGGACCTGCCTTCTCATCCTGATAGTGCCACAATTTATACAGCCCCCTGTGTGACCTGTTGTCTCTCATAGCCTGCAGTTCTTGCCAGTGGCTCAGTTAGGTTTGTCTTCACCCACCAGCTTTGTTCCAGCCAGCGAAGGTGAACAGTTTGCAGCTTTGCCAAATCAAAGTTAGTCCTCTCCTCTCCCCCAGCCCCACCATTTTTTAGAGGGATTTAATTCTGTCTATAATGTCCATTAAACAACTTCCTGTCCAACTCCATTTTCATTGGTAGTGGGAAGAATAAGAATCAAACCCTTAGAAAAATTTGAAGAAACTTAACAGCTGCTGCTTCATAGAGAAACAGTTTACGAGATTTTTCTCTGTGAATGTCAAGTTCTCCAGATGTTCAGAAAAGGAGGTCATCCCTGAGTGGCTCGGGTCGTGACAGTTGGGAGGGGGACTCGTGTGGTTGATGCAGAAGATCTACTTGGGCTTTTGAACTTGAGTGAGGAGAGGCCCAGGTAACTCCAGGGCCCCAGGATGTCCAAACCCCATGTGCTTTCTTAGAGGCAAAGCTTTTGCCTTGGCCCCCTCATGAATTTATATATATAAATGTTGATTCCGGAACAAGCCACACAGTACCACCCCTCACTCCCCTTCAAGAGCCTGACCCACACCAACAGGGGCCCTGTTTGAATCAGAATATAATTTCTGCTGTAGCCCATTGCTCAGGATGGGGGCCTGAGCCAAGATGTGCAATAGGAGCAGGTGGCTGTGGCTTTCTGCTGGATGTGCCATGTGCTTCCTAGGTCCTGCCTTAACCCCTCCCGGCCTCCTGCAGTCCCATCTTCCTACTTCCTTTGATGGCCTGGAGGGGGTGTGCAAGGCAGGCAGGACAGGGTATGAGCCTCCCTCAACAAGGAAAAGATGTAGCAACCATACTGCCACTCTGTTGCCCAGGTTCAAGGATTCTGCCTGGTGTCTTTTGCCCTGCTCCTCCTGCTTTACAGAGCCGAGGTGGGGCTTTGGCTGTAGGCTGGAAGTAAGACTCTACTCAACAAATTTCTCTCCCACTGAACTTCGATAAATGGAAACATTGGGGGTGAAGGGAAACAATCACTATTTTTTTCTTTTTTATCTGGTAAATAATTAAAAGAGAAAACCCTAGAGTTGTCCTTTCTTCTTTAAACTCTTTCTGCCTCCCCTGGCCATGTATGTATCCACACTTCAGTTCTAGCATCGCAGTGTGAGCCCAGAGCTATGCAGCACATTGAGCCCTGCTCTGGGTATGATATCTGCCATGCCCTGGGAGTGACGGGCTTTGAGGCTGAGTGCAGTTGGGAACAGCCTAGGTCAGCCACAGTGCCAGGTAAGACAGCAGGTGAACCAGGTAGGAAAAGTATTGGGAGCACCAGCCCAGGATACTATGAGAACCCTAGGTCTAGAAGAGAACTGAAAGAGATTAGCTGACAGGCACAGAGGTGGGATGATATCAAGGCATATGTAGTAGGAAACTCCCACTGGAAGGAAGTGGCCAGGACATGGTAAGCCTCCTCATCTATTTTCATGTTGAATTTTCCGAAGCCACTGAAAAGTCCTCATTCAGCATTTTGTAAAGACCAAGGGGCTGAAGTTGTGATATATCTTCATGGGGTCTTTGTGTGCTGCTGACTCCCAGCTTCATTCTCTGCTGGGAGGTGCTATTCTGTTTGGCCACTGGGTCTGGACACCTATCATGTGATGAAACCACCTCCAACATCTTCGTGGGCCTAGACTGAACTTCTAAATTGTAGTTGGTGAACTACCTCCGATATTCTTGGGATGTAACGACAATCCACCTGTCAGAGCGAAAATACCTCCAATACTTTATGGGATGTGGCTGGATATCCACCCTGTCATTGGGAAACCACCACCAGCACCTTGAAGTGTTACTGGACGTTTACATTGTGGTTGGGAAACCACATGTACCATCATCATGAGATGTAGCTGGACATCACATTGTGGTTGGGAAACTGCATTCAACATCTTCAAGGGATGTGAATGGAAACCTATCGTGGTTCAGGAACCACCTCCAACATCTTCATTGGGTGTGGCTGGTCATCACATTCTGGTTGGAAAACCACCTTCTTGGGATGCGGCTGAAAATGAACGTTGTTGGGAATCAGCCTCCAGAATCTTCATGGGATGTGGCTGAACCTTCAGGCTGTGGTTGGGAATGCATCTCCAGGATCATCATGAGCTGTGGTTCAACCTTCATACAAGTTGGGAAAGTACTTCCAGCATTGCATCATTGAAGGGAATAGATGAACATTTACACTGTGGCTGGGCAACGACCTCCAGAATCTTCATGGGATATGACTGAACCTTTACATTATGGTTAGGAAAGCACATCATCATGGGGTGTGATTTAATATTCACATTGTGGTTAGGAAATCACCTTTAGGATCTTCATAGCCTGTGGCTCAACATTCACTTTGTGGCTGGAAAACCACTTCTAGGATCTTCATGGGCTATTACTGAACTTTCACACTGTCGTTGGAAAAGCACTTCCAGCATCTTCAAGGAATATGGTGAGACATTCACATTGTGGTTGGGAAACCCCCTCCAGAATATTCTTAGGATATATCTAAACCTTCACCCTAGTTGGGAATCCACCTCTAGTATCTTCATGAGAGGGGCTGAACCTTCACACTGTGATTGAGAAACTAATTTAAGCATCTTGAGGTATGGCTGAATATCAACACTGTGGGAAAGCACCTGCACCATCTTCAAGGGGAATGGCTGAACATTCACATTGTGATTGGGAAAGAACCTCCAGGTTCCACAGGGTGTGGCTGGACCTTTACACTGTGGATGGAAAAGCAGCTCCATCATCATAGAGTGTGGCACTGTGGTTGGAAAACCACCTCCTCTAGAATCTTCATGGGCTGTGGCTGAACCTTCACCTTGAGGTTGAGTAACTACTTTCAGCATCATGATGGAATGTGGCTAGACCTTCACACTGTGGTTGGGAAAGTACCTCCACCATCATTTGATGTGGCTGGGTCTTCATACTATGGTTGAGAATGTACCTCCAGTGTCTTCAAGGGGAGTTGCTGAATATTCAAGTCGTGGTTGGAAAACCACCTCCAGAATCTTATGGATGTGACTAAACCTTCACATTGTGGTTAGGAAACCACCTTCTGCATGTTCGTGGGCTGTGGCTCAACATTCACACTGTGGTTGGGAAACCATCTCAAGGATCTTCATGGGCGTTGACTGAACTTTCACAGTACATTTGGGAAAGCACCTCTAGCGTCTCTTCAAGGGTTAAGGCTGGACATTCACACTGGTTGGGAAACCACAACCAGAATATCCTTATGGTATTGCTAAACCTCAACACTCATTGGGAAACCACCTCCAGCATCTTCATAGGCTGTGGCTGAATTTTCACACTGTGGTTGTGAAAGCAGTTCCAGCAACATCATGGGGTGTGGCTGGACCTTCATGCTGTGGTTGCAAAAGTGCCTCCAGCATCATAATGTGTGGTTGAACATTCACACTGTGTTTAGGAAATGACCTGTACTATCATCATGTACTGTGGCTGAACATTCACACTGTGGTTGGGAAACAGCCTCCAGGATGTTCATGAGATGTGCCTGGATCATCACACTCTAGTTGGGAAAGAACCTTCAGCATCATCTTTGGGTGTGGCTGGACCTTCAGACTGGTTGGGAAAGCACCTCCAGCATCATTATAGAGTGTGGTTAAACATTCACATTGTGGTTAGGAAACCACCTTTAGCCTCTTTATGGGCTGGGACTGAAAATTCACACTGGGAAACTAACTCCAGGATCTTCATTGTCTTATGACTGAACATTCACACTGTGGTGGGTAAACCACTTTGAGGATCTTCATGGGGTATGACTCAACTTTCAGACTGCTGTTAGGAAAGCACCTACAGTATCTTCAAGAGTCACTCTTGACATCCACAGTGTGAATGGAAAACCTCAGGATATTTTAGGATATTCCTGAACCTTCACACTGGTTGGGAATTCACTTAAAGTATTTTAATGAATGTGGCTGAACCTGCACATTGTAGTTGAGAACTGCCTCTACCATCTTCAAGGGGAGTGGCTGAACATTCGCATTGTTGGGAGAGCGCTTCCAGCATCATCATGGGGTACATCTGCACGTTCAGACAGTGGTTGGGAAAGTACCTACCACATCATCATGCAGTGTGGCAGAACATGCACACTGTGCTTTGGAAAGCCCCTGTGCCACCTTTAAGTGGGGTGGCTCACATTCATATTGTAGTTCAGAAAATAACTCCAGAATCATGATGCAGTGTTTCTTGACCATCACACTGCTTGGGAGAGCACCTCCAGGATCATCATGGGATGTGGTTGAATATTAACATTGTGTTTAGGAAACCAACTTTACTATCTCTGTGGACTAGCTGAACATTCATACTGTGGGAAATTCCCTCAACAATGTTCTTAGGTTATTCCTAAACCTTCACACTGGTTGGGAAACCACCTCTAGCACCTTCATGAAATATGGGTGAACCTTCATATTGTGGCTTAAAAAGTCCTCCTTCATCTTCATAGAGTGTACTGAACATTCACACTGTGGTTGGGAAACTACCTCCAGAATCTTCATGACCTGTCTGAACTTCACAGTGTGGTTGAGAAAGCACCTCCAGCAGCATCACAGGCTGGGCCTGAACCTTCACACAGTGGTTGGAGAAGAACCTCAAACACCATCGTGGGGGCGTTGCTGGACCTTCATGCTCCAGTTTGGAAAGCACCTCCAGGATCTTCAAAGTTATGGCTGGACATTCACATAGTGGTTGGGAAGCCACCACCAGATTATTCTTAGGGTATTTCCAAACCTTCACATTGTTTTGGAAACCACCTCCAGCATCTTCATCAACTATGGCTGAACCTTCACATTGTGGTTAGGAAAACACCTCCAGCATCTTCATGAGGTATGGCTAAACATTTACTTGTGGTTGGGAAACACCACCATCATCTTCATGGGTTGTGTCTAGACCATGCTGTGGTTGGCAAACAACCTCCAGCATCTTCATGGGGTGTGGCTGAACCTTTACGCTGTGATTGAGAAACTACCTCCAGTATCATCACGTAGTGTGGCTGAACATTCACGTGGCTGGGAAACCATCTCCAGAATCTATGGGATATGACTGAACCTTCACATCGAGATTGGGAAACTACCTCTGGTATCATCATGAGGTGTTGTTGAACATTCACACTGTGGTTAGGAAGCCACCTCCAGCATCGTCATGGAGTGTGACTAGGCCTTCATACTGTCATTAGAAAAGCACCTCCATCATCTTCAAGGGGAGTGGATGACCAGTCTGTGACTGGGAAACCACCTTTAGCATCTTCATGGGCTATGGCTCAACATTCACACTGTGGTTGGGAAACCACCTCCAGAACCTTCATGGGCTGTGGCTGGACCTTCATTCTGTGTTTTAAAAGCACCTTCAGGGCTGGGGATTTAGCTCAGCGGTTCAGTGGCCTGCGTTGCAAGCACAAGGACCTGAGTTCAAACTCTGGTACCAAAAACAAAACAAAAAAGCACCTCCAGAAACATCATAGGTTGAACATTTAAATTGTAGTTATGAAATCATCTTTACTATTTTTATGGGCTGTGGCTGAACATTCACAATGGTTGAAAATCCATTTCCACTTTTTTTTTTTTTTGAGACAGGGTCTCACTATGTAGTTGAGACTGACCTGGAACTCACTCTGTAGCCCAGGCTGGTCTCAAACTCAAAGCGATCTGAGTGCTGGGATTACAGGCGTGCACCACCACGCCCAGCAATTTCCACCGTCTTCATGGGATGTAGCTGAACATCATCACATTATGGTAGGGAAACCTCCAGCATCTTCAATGGGTGTGGCTGAACTTCCACACTCTGGTTAAGAAATCACCTCCGGAATTAACATCTGGTATGGCTGAACATCTCATTGTGATTGGGAAACTGCATCAAACACCATCCTGGATGTGAATGCACATCCCTTCTGTGGTTGGCAACCACCTCCACCATCTTCATGGGGTGACTATTCCTTCACGTTGTGGTTGAGGAAGCATGCCCACCATCTTCAAGGGGTGTGGCTGAACCTTAAAACCATGGTTGGAAAATCATCTCCAGCATCTTCAA